TGTTTGCTGCCGGGGTTCAGGGGAGTCGCCTCGTGCAAAGGGAAGCCCTGAAGTCCCAGGGTTTGGAATGCGCCGGAGGTCAGGGCTGCGGCGTGGGGGGAGGTCCTGCCGGTGGAGAGGAAGGGGGCTGCACATGGAGGGTCGGAGGCGGGTGAGGAAGGCAGCCTGCAGCGGGGCAATACCTCTGCGAGCGCTGGCTGCGCTAGAAGAGGCGGTTGCCCCATGCAGGAGGAGAGCAGACCCTCCCCGAACCCCCGGCCTGTGCTCACCCCACCTCGGGGGCGTGCTGCCACGCTGCTGTCGGACCCCCGGTTTGCCCCCTGCTCCCCAGAGCTTCTGGGCAGAGAGCTCAGCTGTGCACCCGGCGGACTAGAGGCTTGCGTTTCCTGAATGGGGCTGAAAACGCCTGGTTAAAGGGGGGAAATAATACCGCTACCATTTACTTCCTTAAATTAAAAATGAATGCAGCTCCCTGCGGGATACAGTTCAGTGGGGGAAGTCTCATGGGCCTCTTCAGGAGATGGTCAGAGTGAACAGCCTCAGTAGAGAAAGAAAGAAAAAAAAACCAAACAGATTCTGCAAAGGACAAATGACACTGGGATCCAGCCTGCCTGCTCTCCACCCCGGCCGCTGTTGCAAGAAGCTGCCTGCTTCTGTCAAAAGAAATAATGAACAAGCTGCTTTTTAAAGGTTTTGGGGTTGTTGGTTTTGTTGTTGTTTTTTTTTTTTTCCCTGCTGCTATCATTATGTTTCTGCAATTCCCTTTCTGAGAAGGGTAGTTAGATAAATGCTGCCTTGGAGCCCCTTCCTGTGAAGCCCTAAAGGCAGGCAAGAAGCGGATGGCACTTGGCAGTTGTCGTGACCGTCCGTGTCCCCGGCGCTATGGCAGTCGCTGCTGGAAGGAGAATGGTGGTGGTTGCTGCTGCATGAGGAGAAACCTCAATATTTTTATGGTTGTGCTGAAAGAAGGAAGTTAAAATATGACCAGTGTTTTGATACTGGTTAAGAGATAAGAGCAGAGGAATGAAATTCAGAGCTCCTGGGTTCTGTTTGTGGCTGTGGAGCAAGCGTGGCTGAGGGAGGAGGAGGAGGAGGAGGACTTTCAGGCTCTGCCATTGATTCTTCTTGTGTCTCTGGACCACTTAAGGTGGAAGTGACTGTGGATCCTGCCCTGTTAGGTCTCCAGCTGGAGATATTGCTCGTTTTCTCCAGTGGTCCCCAGTCCCCACAGAGCAGAACGTGTCAGCTTTGCCATAGAGCTGGCTGGAGATGTTCCCAACAGGGGGCATTAAAAAAGGGGCCAGATGAAGCAATTTTAGTCTTAACTTAGGTATAGCTAGAAAAAGTGCTCAAGTAAGTTCTGCAGCTTTCCCCAGGAAGATGACGTCTCAAGGCATTGGCCAGACTTGTTGCTGGTTCATCCCACCGAAGTCGCAGGCTTAACGCCTGTAGCTCCTTTGCTCCTTAGCACCGAGGTGCCTTCAAAACCCTGCAGATAAATATGAAACACCACCACGACCAGAAGCTTTGAAGCTGTGGTGCAGGCAGGATCTGGGGAGTCCTGTGCTGATTAAAACTTCCTTTTATTTTTTGTATGTCTGTAATCGGGTTTTGTCAGGTGTGCGAGGAGCAGAAGTGCGAAGAGGAGGTCTTCCCCCTGGCCATGAATTACGTCGATCGCTACCTGTCGTCAGTCTGCATGCGGAAAAACCACTTGCAGCTTCTGGGAGCAGTCTGCATGCTCCTGGCTTCCAAGCTGCGAGAAACCATGCCCCTGACCGTGGAGAAACTCTGCATTTACACAGACAACTCCATCACGCCTCAGCAGCTCCTGGTAACCATCCCTATCTCAAAAGAGCCCTCTACCTCCTCCCCAGCTCTCTTATCTCCTGCATCCCGCTACTTGGCAGCATACCTGCCTCCGTGGCTCCTTCTGTTCTCGTTCTCCCATTTCTTCACCTTCCTCTGCATTCCCCAACCAACCTGCTCTCCTCCTCGCCCCACCGGGTGCGATGGCAGTTGGCGGAGACCTTTCCATCCTCCCTGTTGTGGGAAGTGGCGTTGTCACCTCCAGGTTATAGAGGAAGTCCCTGGTGCCTTAAGGTCCTCGTCGCCAGCACGGAGCTGCCGCGCTGGTTCGCTCTCGAGTGACAGCTCTGGAGAACAAAGGCTCCCGTCGGCGCCGCCAGCGGGGCACGAGGCGGGGGCTGTCGCTGGGGCACGAGGCTTTGACTTGCCCCGGCTGCAGAGGGGCGTGACGTGGGAGATGCGTTTCCCCACCCGCAGGAAAAAAACGACGTTTTAAGTGGAGAGTTAACCAGCAAAACGGGTGGGAGCTCTTCTGACCTGGGATCCAGCTGGGGAGGGAAGCGAGCGGGACCTTGCTGCTGCCCAGGTCCTGCTCCGCACCCTTGAGTCAAATCAGGGCTGCTTTGCCTCTCCCATTGTGTGCTCACGCCTGTGGAGGCTTTAAAGGCAAAGCGTTCCATGTCTGATAGAAGTTCAAAGCGAAGATCCCAACCTCTTGAGTTCAGCTTTGCCGATGGGAGAGGGAATTGGAGAACCCCTTTTCTTGGGGGCCTTCCGTGCTGGTAGGTCAGAGCCCTCGGGAGGAAACGGCCACCTCGTTTCGAGTAACAAACATCCCTGGAGACGGTTTGTCTACGAGAATTTCTCGGGGTTAGTCATCGCCTTATTAAATATCTTATTGTTTCGGGGGCTGGAGTGGGTGAGGTGATCTGAGTGTGATTTGTCCCCAGGGTGGGGAGTGAACCCACAAAACTTTCAGGTGTGAATCGGAAGGCAGTTCTGGTAACCGGGGAACTCTATAACATGAACGTGGTTTTTCCCAAGTGCCAGTGAAGGCTGGGAAAATCCCCTCACCCCCATACCTCTCTCCCTGTGGTCATTTGTGGGTGGTTGTTACCTTAAGTAGCGCTCACGGGGGGAAAAAAACCCATGTGGATCGTTCGGGTGAATAGTGGTGAGGGATGGGGATGCACAGAGGAAACACAAGTGCTCGTTGCTTCTCTGGATGTTGGGCTGTGGTGGTGCTGCAGCATCCTGCTGGGGCGGGCTGGCACGAAAAGCTCTCTGTGTGAAGCCTCTCTCCTGCCGTGGCGGTGAAGCCTCGTCCTCGAGGGCACCTTCTCACCCGGTGATGGATTCTGCGTGGAGATACCTTCCCAGGACTGGGATCCGTCGCGTGAAGCTGATCCCAGCCTGTAACGGGAGGGTTTCTGTTGGCCGTGTGATGATGAGGGGGTTAACGTTCGGCTGGAAGAAAAGGGTGGGGGGGGGAACGGGAGTTGGTTTGCATTCGCTGTTCTGCTGGGCCAGCAAACCTTGCCTCTGTTGCAGAGGCAACGAGCTGAGCAGAAGGTGCCAAACAGTCTTCTCGTAGGTAAGCAGGCTGTGTTTCAAAGCTTGGGCAGCGCTCTCCGTGCCCTCGGGAGCGTGAAGCTGATCAAAATGCATGTTGTGGGCCAGCATCGGGTTTCTGTCCCTTCAGAGGGATGTTTAAGCTCTCTGTCCAACAGGGCTGTGGGTTGCAGGAAGGTGAACTTCTTGCCGTGCTTCGCCTCCGTCTGCCTCCGTGACCCAGGCTCTGCAGGGAGTCCTGTCATCATCCCTGCAGACTAGGGGAGGTCGCCACAGCAAATTCTAGTGGTTTCTGCAACTTGGGCTGTAAGGAATCAGACTTGGTGGGCACCTTGTGCCTGTCGCCCACGGATCCCGGTTGTATTTCATTCTGATTTATTTGTTGATTTATTCTTGGTGAGAATTGGCTTTTTTCAGTTGGATCTTGAGCTGTGTTTGTAGCAGGCTCCTTCCAGAGGAGAACAGTTAGGAGATGTGCAGGTGGGTAGTGGGCAGAGCGGGTGCGACATCCCTGGAGGCTTTCCTTCGCTCTCTCGGATGCCAGTGCCTCCTCACTCAGAGTCT